TCATGGAGCCAGCAGGTGGCATGGTGGTTAAGGGTGCTGGACTCTCACATGGCCGACTGTGATTCAAGTCCTGGACCTGGCAGCTTGCTTTCTCATTTTCTCTCTCTCTCTCTGCCCCTCTCTGGTCAAATTAAAATAAATAAGAAAAATAAATAAAGTTATAAAATATATATATATATGTTCATTCAAAGGCAATAGTGATATAAAACATGAGGGTAGTCTTCAACTAATTCATGGAAAACGCAAATTATGAAAAACATGTACAGATTTTGAAAACTCTTGGCACTAAAAATTCATACTTTAACTATTTTTTTTCATGAACTTTTTGAAATCCTCTCATACATTCAGGTTAACAGCACCCTATCTTCTTCAAAATTCCCTACGGTGCACAAGAAACATTTTTCTCTTGTACACTACCACAAATAGGACTGCACCACGGCTCTAACACAATTAGAAAAAAATGAAAACAGTATGACTTGACTTTGGCAGACACACATTTTCATTCAAAATGACACAGTAAGATTAACTTTTTCTTTAAAGTTGACTGCAATTGTAAATATTCACTTAAAACTTACTTCTAGTTCTTTAATTTTTTCTTCTGCTATTTTCTGTTTTTCTAGCAGCTGATTGTGAATTACCTCCTTTGATTGAAGAATAAACCTATAAAACACACAAAAAAAGTTGAAAATCAAGCCACATGACCACTGACTGTCTTCATAAAAATCAATATACCATAGATATTAAACTAAGAAAACAAAAAGAATGGTCTTCCAACTGGGGTGAATAAAATGCATTATTATGTTAATATGAAAAACTCAGGAACCCACCACAGGCTGTGTAAGCCTTCTTGGCTGAATAAAGGCTTAAAATTAAAAGTAGATTCTGCTTTCTTATTTCAGAGAGCAATCAACATCAAATAGGTTCATTGATAAGATAAAAAAAATAGCAATAAAGATATAAAAATTTACCAGAGGCTATTTGTCAGTATACAAACAATGCAATTTTATTTTTTATTATTTTAATTTTTTTGTTATCCAATGCAATTTTTATCTAGATTACTTCAGCGATATTTGTAAATTAGAGTTCCCTTCCCTTTTTTTTCCTTGTTACAGCAGTAACTCATGACCTTTTAAAGTCACAATCAAGTACTGTGTTAGGATCAATGCATTAGTGTTTATATGAGCTCCTCACACAAAAAGCACTGTATAAGCCCTGGTATCTTTTATTATTATTTCCAGAGTGTATAATACCTCTGAAAAGCTCAAAATGTACAAGCGGAAAATTTCAACTTTTTCCATTTTACAGTTGTGCACATTATTTACCAGTGATGACAGTGGAAATATGAGGAAGCTTTAAAAATTAACACTGAATCTGTTTTGTGACTCTATGTTCATAATTTTTGCTGCAAGGAAAGGAATAACCAACTTTTACAGCCTCAACTAAGTGAACTAAAATGTTTCCCTTCCACTGCAACCAAGAGAAAACCTCAATTACTCAAATCTCTTTCAAGACTGACTAAGCTAAAACAGATTTCATTTAAAGATTACAATTCATTAAGCAGACTTTTTCTTTTCATGTCACCATACAGAACTAAACTTGGAAGAACGGAATCTCATCTCTCAACAACAAAAAAAACAGGACCACATGGTGGCATAGTGCTTGGAAAAAGTTCCCGGTTGAAGTCTGGAGAACTCCCTGATATCAATGTGCAATTTCCCTACCTAATCCTATAAAAATATTGTACACAGGTGGGTTCTTACAAGAAAGTCTGTTATAGATTTAAGTTAAAAACTATAGCAAAAAAGGCAACTAGCTATGTCCTGACACCTGAAAGGAAACTGCTTTTCCCTTTGTCATGAATATACCTTGCCACATATATTAGTACAATATGATGAATTTCTCTCCCACTCTGCTAATTGTAGGCTAAACACCCAAAAGGTTAAAATCCAAAATCTGAAATGTTCCAAAATCAGAAACTTGGTGAGTGCCAACATTATATCATGGTGGAAAATCTCACACCTATTCTCATGTGATGGACTGTGATTAAAACACCACAATACGAAAATATTTGATAACGTTAACTTCAGACTATGTGTATAAGGTGTATAGGAAGCATATGTGAGCTTCATGTTTAGACTTGGACTCCATTGCCAAGAAATTTCATTATGTATATATAAATATTCCAAAATCCAAAATACTCTTGTCCAAAGCATTTTGAATAAAGGATACTGATATTGCACCTATATTAAGCTTGTGTCTGATGTGGCTAACCCAGATAATTTAACTAATGATCTTAGTCTTCAATAGTAACATTATCCTTTGTGTAAAAAAAAAAAAAAAAAAACCTTATATAGTTACTGAAAAGACAGCTTACATTCATGCAAAATGAGAATTCTAGGTCTCTTACTATAAAACCCTTCATGTATAAAATGCTCTAAATGGGTTCAAAAGAAAGGTGCTACTTCTTTCTTTTTTTTTTTTAAGTTTATTTATTTCTTCCATGAGCAAAACAGAGCACACACATATCCCCCAAGAGTCTTGATGCCACGACCAACTCCCAACCAAGCCAGCCGTAGAAAAATGGACGTGCAAGTGCCCAGCATACTCAATGAGATCTGTGGACACGAACCCATAACCCAGAATCCTCCCATGTGGGCCAGCCTCATAGAGTGTTGCATTTTATAGTTGTGCTATCGTCTAGCTCCAGGACAGATGCTATTTCTGTAAGACTGTGGTTTATACAGTATTTTTCTCAGAACTACCTCATACTAGTATTTGAGGAGAAGGATTGTTTTAAAATGCATTAAGTCTCAGTAACACTGCATTAAAAACATTATAAAAAGGTCCAAGAGTAGCCAAATTATATTCTTACATGCAGAAGTTTACTAAGCAAGTCTTTCAGTCATGGAAATAATTTTCAAAGTATAATATACATTTTAAAATAGCATTGATTGCTGGCCAATGAATAGTATTCTCAAATGATAAGTCATCAGACATCATCTTTATTAGTGTCTGGGAAAATTTCAAAGCTAAAATTAGAGGTCAAGTCATTACTAATGTGGCCTTTAAAAATAAAGTATCTGAACAGATACTAAATCCCTTGAGCAGAAAATAAAATTACTAGAAAGCAAGAACACTCAACAACAAAAACATGTTTTTCCATGGCCACACATCCCTTGAGGTAACTATATTGGACTTGTCAACTTCAAAGGCCAGGGAGACTCCACAAAGCTAGCCAACATACTACTAAAAGGCTAAGATATCTCAACCATGCAAGTTTTAGGCAAGGATGAGCACTGGATAAATTCAAATGTCACCTCAGAGAGTCAAAATTTAACCACAAAAATTATAAAAATTCTGGTTTAGTCTTCAATTAAAAAAATAGCAAAAATGCCTTGTATGGAGTTTAGAATGGGCTCTAATAAACATCTGGATTTCTGGGGGGGAAAAGTCTTTGGATGCCTTATCTATTGTTTAAAAAGGCACTAAATTATGAGATGCTATTCTGAAGAGAAAGGATATACCGTAGTATTATGATGAGACTGTCATAAATAAATACTATGTACACAGATTCTCAAAGTAGAGAATCTCAGAGATCCCGCCTGATTATTAATGGAAAGCAAATGGTAAACAAACAATTCTGGCATTCAAAATGAGCCACAAAGGAAAAATAAACCATGAAGAGGGGAAGTTCTCAAATGACAGGCACAGAATGCATTTACATACCTAGGATTATACAAGAGGACTTCAAAAGGTTCATGGAAAAATGGAATTAAGGCACAAATTTAGGGGCCAGACAATGGCACAGTTGTAGTATGCAACATTCTGCAAGTCCAGCAGTTGGCCTAATGGCTATGCCGCTGGATTCCCATGTAGTCGACTACGGTTCAAGTCCCGGACCTGGTAACTTAAACTCACAGTGGGCGCATATGCATGCATGTCCAAGATCCTGAGAGGAGAATGGAGGAGAAAGGATTGCAGTGTGGCCATCCCCCCTGGGGGGTGATTTCTCACTCTCTTTCTCTGTCTTTCTGGCAAGTGCATACGCCCTATAGCAAAAACCTCTCAAAAAAAAAAAAAAAAAAACAAAGATCCACATGGAAAGAGCACAGGCATGCCCATGATCCTGGGATAGTTGAGAATGAAGGTAGATGGTAGGATCAAGACCTATAGGTCACGGTCAGTGGATAGCATGTCATTAGGGAATTACACATTAAAATGACAACGAGATATCATCACATACCTAGTTAGTATGTAAAATCCAGAACAATAACAACACTAAATGCTGGTAAAGATGTGGAACAATAGAAACTCTTATTCAAAGCTAGTGAAAGGCAAAAATAGTAAAGGCCATTTTGGAGAGGTTTTTTTTGTTTTGTTTTTTGGTTTTTTTTTTTTGCTATAGGGCGCGTGCGCTCACCAGAGAGACAGAGAGAGACATAGAGACAGAAAGCGAGAAATCACCCCCCAGGGGAGATGGTCACGCCGCAATCCCTTCTCCTCCATTCTCCTCTCGGGATCTTGGGTACGCACGCATACGCACCCGGCCTGAGTTTGAAGCCACCGGGTCCGGGACGCGAACCACGGTCGACTACATGGGAGTCAAGCGACATAGCCATTACGCTAACTGCCGGTTCCCAGGTAAAGGCCATTTTGAAAGATAGTCCGGCGGGACCAGCAGTTGATGTAATGGGTATGTCACTGGACTCTCATGTAGTTGACAATGGTTCAAATCCCGGATCTGGTGGCTTAAATTCACGCTCGGCACCTGTGCGGGCGTACCCAAGATCCCAAGAGGAGAATGGAGGAGAAGGGACTGTGGTGTGGCCATCCCCCCTGGGCCCAGCCCCCCAGGGAGTGATTTCTAGCTTTCTTTCTCTCTCTGTCTTTCTGTCGAGCACACGTGCCCTATAGCAAAAGCTCTCCAAAAAATAAAAAAGAAAGAAAGAAAGAAAGTCTGGTAGATTCTTCTAACACTAAACATATGATCAAGCAATTGCACTCCTTGGTAACTACCCAAATGAGTTGAACACTTATGTATACAAAAAAACCTGCACATAAATATTCATAGCAGCTTTATTTTAACACTATGTCCACCACCTAAAGGTCATTTCTACTTGTGTGTTCCATAAGTCCTCAAATTCAACATGTTCCAGATTCAACTTTTTTTTCTTTAAGACAGGGTCTTGCTATGTTGCCCAGGCTGGCCTCAAACTCACAATCCTCTGGCTTTCAGCCTCCTGAGGCAGGCAAAACTATAGAGACAGTTAAAAAGATCAATGGTTGGGGCCAGCAGGTGGCGTGATGGTTAAGGTGCTGGAATTCCCACATGACTAACCATGATTCAAGTCCCAGACCTGGCGGCTTGGTCTCTCTCTCTCTCTCTCTCTCTTTCTCTCTCTGGCAAAACTCATGTGATTAAAATAATAATAAAAATAAATAATTCTTTTAAAAAATTTAAATAAACTAAAAAAAAAAAAAGATCAATGGTCAGCAGTGAGGGGGAGAAGAGAGAAGTAGGATATGAGGCGAAGGTAGGGAAGGATAAGCAGGTGAAACAAGGAGATTTGGTGGACAGTGAACTGTCTTGTACAATAGTGTAATGGCAGATACAAAATACTATTCGTTTATCCAAACCCAGAACTATACAATACAAAGAG